ATTGTATGTTACAGCAAAAAAATAGGTTCCCTTATACGTATTAGGAACTAATTTACCGCTTTGGAATTTTTTGCTTAGAAAATCCGTCCGACTAATATTGAAAACTTTCCACAGTCCCCATTACGAGTCGGAGGCGAAGGTGAAATAACCTAATTATTTATGAAATTAAATAAGGATCAGATCTCGCTGTCACAAGAGGTGAATTTAATTAAGGGATGAAAGCGACTCCGTTGCTATTTATTCATAACAATGCGATCACCCCTCAGGGTTCTATTAATTAAAAGTCCGATACGCAACGAAACATCGCTTTTCGATTAATCCCGTCGAATCGGAGTTCTTTTCGTTGTATCGTTAAGGGTAGTTTCTTGCAGTTTTCCAAAGTCGTCTGATTACCTCAAGTTCGGGAGATTTCGTAGCTCGATCCCCTGGAGTAATTTATGGCGAATTATAGACTTCGTCGGGTAGAAAATGGTGTCGGAGGATAAAGAAAATTTCAACCCTTTTAACATGTCTGATGCTACGTGGAACGAGGGTGGAAGCAACACGCTTTTTATTGTTTTTCGAATGAGCGTTTATCCTCGGCTGGATAACTTCATTAGATCGTAAACATAACCACTTTTTATTCACGGAATGTATAGTCTTTCGCGTGGTAGGTAGATGAATTGTGACGTCAAAAGCAATTGAATAATGGTTGTTCTCGAAAACAAAAACATCTGACGTCCGGTAATTGGAGGATTCTCTTGAATGAATATGTGAAGGAAGTTCCGGTGCTCGTAATTCCGGGCTCCGGGATCTAATCATAGTTTTGAGTAGGTAATCAAGAGTGCGAGTATCGTTAGCCAAGATAAGAACAAAGGGTTAAAGGTAATCCGGTCAGTTTGCAACAGATGGTTCAGTGTATCGACGATCTTCCGCATGAAATCATCCCTAATCCCAGTGATCGGGAAGGTTTGCTAAGGATTTGCTACCACAGAATGAAATAGAAACTTTCATATTGTATACTGCTTCGTGGTCGAAGGTAGGGACATTTTATTGCGTAACTTGCACCAACGTCAACGTTGTTAGGTTTTGGCACCAAAGGGTTCTAACTATTAGATTATTAATAAATGGCAGTGAAAACGACAGATGTTATAAAAGGTAAATAAGTAAGTATCGATTTTTGTGGCTGTCGTAGTTACGAATCGTACTGTGATGATCGATGTGTAGTGTTCGAGGTCGTTAGTAAAAGGGAACTCGTCAGCACTGAGTTAAAAGATTTTGACACCTGGCAAAAAGACGACACGGCAATCAGTTTTTTTTATTATTAAACATATCTACTTATTTAAATGTAAACAACCCACCTTTAAGTTGCCGTGAGTTTTGGTATGGAGCAAGTGCTACAGCAACCGATTTAAAAAAAAATTATACCTACATCGCGTGTTAGGTGGTTTGGTTTATAAAGTCACGGAAAGAATCTTCCTTTACTGAAATAAACGATAAACAATCCGTGCTTATTTGTGATCGCTTGCCGCAACCTCGAATATCGCACACATCCTCATTTTCAGCGTCCCGTCCTAATAAAAGCAAATGAAATCTTGAAACTCTGCTACTCCCTCGTCAAAATTAATTTCAGCCATTTCGCCACGTCTAATAAGTAATACGGTACAATGGAACGAATGTTTGTTTTCAGTCGCAACAGTCAATATACGTATAAAATTAATTAAGGGTTAAAGTTTGCAACTAAACCTCGGCGACCTCGAACTATAGGTACTCGGGTACGTGCACATAGATAATTATCGCGTTAAATTCATAGTTCAGAGCAAGTCGTATTGAAAGTGTACAAACACAATCGACATGGAGGAGATAATCAACACGCGGCAGACGTTCTACGATTTTACTCTATGTAGTCGACGCAGCGGCCATTAACGCACGAGGGTCATAAAATTTTAATGGACGTCCTCTTCTGTCTTGACGTTCTATCCACTTCATCTCACTTATTCTAGTTAGTCGACTCGCAAAGTGACTGCATTATGTGCAGTATGTCGACTGTAAATCATCGGTAATCTAATCTAAAGACGAATTAATTTAACTGCATGACAAATATTTGAGGTGGGATTATGACGGTCATATGACCAGCTGAAGACGTCACGAGAACGTTTATTTAAGAAGAATAAAGAACGAAATTGTAACGAATAGTTGAATGTTAATAACGAATTAACATTTCATTAAATAAATAAGTAATTAAGCAAACTTTGTTTAACAATATTATCAGTATTTCACATCTTTTGTGTACTGAACGATCAAAAATATACATAGTAGTGCGTAAATATGTAAAAATCGCAGTATAGAGCAGGTGTTCTATAGCAGTAAACAATATTAAACAAAAACAGAACAATTAATAAAAGAATCTTTTGGTATTTTTCTAGTAATGCCGACATTTTGGTTTGTGTTGACGTCTGCATCTGAATTTCATATCGTTAACTTGATGTCTAATTAAATTTTGAATTAAACCGGCATTTTTCAGTTGTTTTCAATTATACTACTGCCAGACATAAGTATTTTGATACTTGCTGCTCTACACTGCCGAGTGGTTAAACAATCAGGTCAAATGTCTCTTGGCGAAACAAAACGTTAAAAGCGAATGTCGGCATAGAGATATATGTACGTCAATATTTATGTTTTTATGTTCCGAGCGTAAGCTAGGGGAGTGTTGTAATCGAGTCCATCCGGCGACTCGCTATTTTTATGTTTTCTCGACGTTGCATGACTCCTAGAATACGAAATAGGTCTCTCGTTTCCATCTGTCAGTCTGCCGTCTGTCGTCTGATGTCTGAGTTATGAGATAGATAACCTTCTAAACTACCAGACTGATTGCTGTCAAATTTTGTATGTTAGGAATATCGTGCAGATGGTAAAACGCCAACCAAAATTTGTCTGATAATCCCCACCAATGATGATGTGACGTCAGTTTCAACTTTTACGGTGGTAAATGTTATTTAAATTTTATAAAATAACATACTCCTCCACTTGTAATTTATGAATCCGTATTGAGTTTTTGCTCTAGGCATCCAGATTTTTGTAAAAAAAACAAAATTTTATAACAACATTTTACAATAAATTTAACTTTGAAGTTGCAAAATTGAATGCTCTGGAACCTTGCAAACGTTTTAAAGTTATCGGAAACATGGCAAATCGTTGATTAAAATTTATCCGTTTAGGACCCCCTTAAAAATTGATGATGTTATAACTCAAAATTTCACCGAATAAATCCTATCGAAAATGTGCAAAAAATAATGAGTCCATACGTGTGATTTATTATCCAGGTGATTCGTGACACAAAAAAAATTAATGAATGAATCAGTTTATTTTATTGTTTAACTCAGGAATGCTCACTCCATTTGCTCCAAAAATTTGAGAATACAGTATTCTATTATTAGTACGTACCCCTAACAGAACCTCCAGAAAATCCTCTTACTCCTTTCTACCACTAACTCCACACTTTATCCACCAAAAACCGTTTTTTCAAAAACACTCAATGTTCATCTATATATATATATAAATGAATGTTTGTCTGTATGTCATAGATGAACTCAAAAACTACTGGACCGATTATTATGAAAACTGGTATATATATGTATTTTTCCACGGAGAACGTTTGTATGATATGCTCATTGATGCCACTCGCCACCAGGTGGCGCTGTAGAGTAGCAACAGTTGTTGGCGTAGCAACGCGCGCCGGGTAGGTACAGCTCTAGTCCTTAATAAATTAATACATAACAATCGAAGAAGAGACATATTTCCAGTTCCGCAAACTCGTTAAGACTAGTTTCGGTACATTACACCCCCTCTCGGTTCCCTCGGCGACCCCTTTCCCAGTCCGCGAATTCCAAGAACCGAGTCGTCTGATATTTCCAAGAAATTCCCCGCGCGACTTTTTCGAAAAAATATCGGATTTTTATAGATTCACAATAAACACAACCCGTAAAAAGTAACTGTAAAAATCAAATTTAAAGTTTTTTAAACTCTCCGTGATTTATTTTTTACAGAATTTAGGGGAGTTAGGGGCATTTGATGTTTTTTGAAAGACATTAAAAGAAGCTCGTGGGCCCCAAGTGTTTTTTTAAGTATTCAAAGTGTGCCATGTAATGTTACACAGATTCTTTTAGCAACAACTAAACCAATCGCATTGAAATTTAGCAGGTATTTTGAGGTTATCGTCATCCTGATAGGTTTCTAACAAAAATTAATTACCTATTTTTCCATCCCTACCAAAATTTTGATGACTTTACTTGTTGTGTTGTAAGTTGTGTTAAGTGAATCGTAATTAAAATTCCAACTTCACCTTGGAGGGAAGTTCTGTCTCAATAATTCCAGACTAACTTTTTCTTTCATAATGGATAATAAACGTTTTTGTCAAGACAAGCCTCTGGGTCCTATCAACATTTCTCGAGTTGTTGCCAATAGTTTTGATTATCGTGTTTTCAATGGGACGTGGTGCAGTTGAGCGGTTAAGCTATTATCCAAGATCTTTTCCTTGAATTTGTCAGATGTTCCATATTAAAGGATTTTTTTTTTCGCAAGGAACAACTTTAATGAAAATCTGCACGTGTTCGCTTTCAAGCGACTTTATCAAAACACCAAGTGTGCACCTTTACTCTCGAGGTCATATAAAAGCCTCCATCACTACTACGAAACCCAGCCAAAAACCTTTCGACCACGGTAAATAATGGCCCATTATCCCAGCAGCCAAAATATCAGTAGTCCGTCTAAACCAGCATGCCGAAACACATCAAACTGCGAGAAATCGAGTCGACTCGGGTCTTCCGCTTCTCGTAAGTACCCCAAAAGTCAAAATCCGCCCCCCACCCTTTACCCCCCCTCGCCCCGCGGCCCCAACACCAATCGAATGCCGAAATTCCGGTCGTGGGCGGTCCGCATGTTCCGCGCTATAAATAAACAAAAATCGTTTCCCGCAAAAATTTTTCCCGTTTTCCAGTCCGGATCCGGCCGTGGACGCAATGCCCGTGAAAATTTTGTTTTTAGTGTGTCGCGCACCATCGACTGCGATCGTCGCGTTCCGGTTAGAGAGCTCCCGGATTCGAAAACCCAGTGCATTCATAGAGCGCGCCGAACGCGGGAGATCTAGTGGCCTTTGAAAAGGACGATCCGCGGCCGCCTGTGAAACTAGTCAACTCGAATAACGTGGTCAAAGTGTGCTGTGCGTGTGTGTTTCGCCGGCCTTTTAAACACCAAGGACGGGATATTTCGAGGGGAGGAAAAAAATCAGGTGGAGAAAGAGGTGCAAAAGGTGGTTGACTCTCGAGGCGCGGTCTCTCTCCGACTTTGCATCCATCGTACGCTCAAATTCCAACACGTAATTATTGCCGAGATGATTTTTTTTTCTTGACACGGTTGCGGTCGGACAATGCAGTAATTGCGATAATTATGGCGATGTTCTTACGAAGGTCGCCATTAAGCAATCAACCGGCTAGAAATGACACGATTTTTCGCTTAGGCCTTACCAGGAGTTTTTACCCCGATTACCGTTTTTCCTCGCTCACAACCTTCATGAATCATAAATGAAACATGTACGTTGGAAATTAACAAGTATAGCAACGTAATGTTTACACTTCGTAGCCGGGTATTGTTTATTCCGATGAAAAATTACTCCGCGGTAAATAAATTATCATAAATTTTAAATTTCCTCCAGTTTGAAGCTTCTTTACCCCCTTGGGCGTTTGAACGCCTGCTCGATCATGATCGTTCTTGTGCGGAGGAATCACAAGGATAAACGCCGTTCCGTTTTATTACTGACAATTGAATAATATATCCTTGGTGGAGGCGCACACACGCAACCAATTTCGTTTCATCTAAATTAGTTTTGTTTTAAAGCGATTACCCTCTGTCGTCCTTTATCTCTGCATAAGTTTAGCGAGCCGTCGAGTTGTCAAAAGGAAAAGAGGGGCAGCAACGAACGTTTCATAATACATTATTTCTTTTTCAGTAATTTTCCAGTTTATGTAAAAGTTAGAATGGAAAATAACAACATGAAAACTAGGAACGAAAAACCGTCAAAGTGGTTTTTAACGAGCTGATATTGTCGTTCTTTGTGTTGTTATTCCTGTTTCAAAGTTTAATTGCACAACGATTCCCAATATTCTACCTACTGAATTGAGCGTTTGCAACTGAACTTAATCAACTGAGCATCAAAAATACAAAAATTGTCAACGCGTTTCGCCAACCACGTTGGCATTATCTTAAATAATACTGACCTACGAGGTTAGTATTGTCTAGATACTGACCTGACCTGACCTAATCTAAAAAGGTACGTTTTGTATAGATAATGACAACGTAGTTGGCGAAACGCGTCTACAAATTTTGTAATTTTCTATTTTCGGTGTTATAGAGGTAATAAACGTTATACTGTAACAGTATAACGAGAGATCGAAGAAGATTCGACTAAAGCCTCACGTTATTATTTTTAGAAATATTATAAAACCCTTGGCTAAGTTGCTTGATTAATGCAAGGGTTTTTGGTACATTTTTTTAACATAAAAATTGTTCATCTAAACTGCATAAAATTTGTCAGTCTGGATATAAAAATTTCCATATATCAATAAACGGTGAAAAATTAATCATATCCAAATTAATTTTTGCCACGTTCGGAAGCTAGAGGTGAACATAACCTTTAAAAAATCGTTATATTTATTTTTACGCATTAATTTTGTGAAACAAAATATTATAAAAATTTTGCTTTTAATAAAAAGCAGTAACTTAATTCTGATGAATCATGAAGGAAACTGAATTTTGAAAAAGTGTTTAAATAATCTATTGAGGTCAAGTTTTTCCTATTAAAGTACTTAAAGCTCCTTTCGGTGATTTTTTTTTTTTTTGTTTAATGTTTTAAGAAATATGAATATCTGTGTAAAAGTGTCATAATCAACTCTTTTGTTCTGCAGTGCTCTCGAGCATAATTTTAATGTAGGATAATAAAGTGAGGGACGTAAGAAAACGAAACTGTGATATTTTAATAGTCAGTGTACCTACTTGATATTAATAAATATTAGTAAATCAATTTAAATTTTTTAATGTTTATTATTGTTATTATTATTATCACTATTTTAGAATAAATTATTTGTTATAATTTTCTCATAAATAAAGGAAACCGATTTTGACGAAACGACAGCGTTCTGCTGAATATAAATTTATTTAACCGTCGTCTTCGCTGCTACTTAAAAAACAGAAGCTACAAATCCGCCAATTCGTTATAAACGCCTCGTCGTTTACTTCGATCCCACCGTTTAATTTACAATCCAGAGCAAATCATTGTTCTCCCCGAAACCAACGAGGCGTTACACCATCTGCAATTTATCCGAACTTCATCAGAACGTAATCAGCTTTTAGTTCTCACTGTAAATATTGACTGAGCTTAAATGTTCGCGCCGTTGTTCCAGCGACTAGGATTACCACCCGAATAACCAGAAAATGAATTTTTAATGACGCCTGATTTGAACAGACTCCACAAAATCGTTTCTGCACTCTTGTTGAAACGGGAGTTCGTGTTTCTAATGGATGTTAATTAATATAGAGGACACCCCGTTGAATTCGATTGGTGAACGATTTGGAGCTTGTTTTTCCCCAACGACAATACAGAACTAGTTAATAGAATAACAGAAATTGATTAGCTGCCATATCCATACCTAAGTGCACTGTTTGCATTTTGTTTATATCGATCTGTCCACTGTTGCTTCGTAAGGGTGGTTTTCCATTATTTACGCACAGCACAAATCTCGGTTACAGCGCCAATCCGGACGTATATCTTGATTTTTCCCGTGCCCTCTTTCACATAAAAAAGAATTATGTTGTAAGAACAGATTGTGGAGAATGTGAGTTGCAGTTCATAATGACCACAATTCTATATGTAAAGTAGCGACTCGTGCCAGATTTGCAAATTTAGAAGTGGCTATTATGCTGATGTTTATCTCGATTGTGTCTGTTCTGGCATTCATCCAGTCCGCTTATTTAAAAATGAAGCGACCCCATTGTCTGGGAGTGGAGGAAACAGAAATTGCGCTGATAAGCGTTTTTTCTTCTTCGATTAAAGCCACCATTATCCATTCCATAGGCTGTACAGAAGAGAGCATAAAATCATCGTCCAAATTATAATGCTGGTACTACAAAGATACTTCTGAAACCTGGCGATTGTATACCATTGCCACGATGTTTTAAATCCCGAGTCCACGATGTAGACCACGTGATGCCAGCAAAATTTTCCCTTGATACTTATTCAATTTTATGCAAGAACGGAATTCGACGAGATTATTCTAGACAAGCAAATCGGAAGAAAAATCCAAACAGGGCTCGCGTGTCGTGCTGACACCGTAATAACGCAAGATTAAATATGAAAATGGAGTCTATACGGAAGAACGTGGATAACGATCAGGGTCTAGGCGTAAATTGTCACATCAGTCGTGGCAAGAGTGTAAAAACCACCGCCGTTTATTGCATAAATCACCGGCGGTTTGCATGTTTGCGGTAAATATTTACCTTCGTCGTCCGGCTTCTTAATTACCAATCTTGCCACCCCTGCGTTCGTAACCGAGACGATTTGATCATACGTTGGTGTTTATTTTATCGTTAAAAAAAGAGAGAAGTAGAGAGGAAGTGTAAAAGGGTCGCTTTAACGAAACCCGCTGGGTTATTAATTGATTTAGAATATGGTCTCGATGGAATCCTTTTAAGATCACAATTTAGTTAGCGGATTTTTTCTTTCCAGAGATACCTACGTTTTTCCTTTGTGCATTTTTGTCACTCCCGTGAGTTCATTTGAAATATACAAGCGACGGATGTTTTGAGTATTGAGAGCAAAACGCTGCATTAGAGCTGGGAGGGATGAAATCTCTCCGATTTCGCTTTGTCGTTTTTAAATTTCCAAGGAAATTATTTTCTTTGATAATAGAGCTATACGAAGATAAAAATTCCGATTTCGAGTTTAAATCGGCGACGTTGGACCTTTGCCTTGATTGTTTATCGATTTCATATCTTTGGAAATGACGGCTTTGATTATTTACTGTGGCACGGGATTTGAGAACGTTGAAAGATTGATGGGTGCATTTTTTACTAAACGTGTATGGCTTCTTATTGATTTAACAATCTAATTCATAACACAAAATACAAAATAAAATATTTGCTGCGGTAGTCGCGGCAGTCTGTTCACATTTTCTTCAGCCAACATTTCGTATTTGATTTGCGGAGGAGATTTTTAAAATATTATTCTATCCGATTATCTTTTCAATCAAATCGGAAAAAAAGCGAACGACTACTCAATACAAGCCGAGTAGTGCTCGATTAAGAGGCCACAGCCGCCGTGCAGTCTTTCAAATACAAATTTAACATTCGAAATAATGCTTAGCTATGATTTCATAATGGCGAGTGTATTTATTTGTGGCAGACGCAGTAAACCTCATTTAATAAAGATTCATGGATGTCTCGGTGCACCAATTAGAAAATGAGGGTTGAAAGAGGGCTAAAATCTAAATCGCTGTTCCCTTCATCATTTCGTTTTAATTAATTTTTAATTCATTTCATTATACAAACTCTGAAACTTACATTTTCAAGATTTTACTCGTTTGGAAAGGAATATGTGCCAATGCTATTAAGAGAAAAACTCATTGGTATCCGTTCGTTTAAACTGTACCATGTTAAGATTTTTTGGCTTACCTACGTGTCACAATCCTCAAAACTGGTGATAGTGATTTATTACATTAAAATTGCGTAGCTGAAAATGTACGTATAAATGGTTCGCTTCATAATCCTTGCATACGAAATGGTTTATGATACCGTAAATAATAAATGAAATCAACTAATGCCAAATAAAATAAAATAAAAAATAATTCAGGTTTGTTTTCACCGCCTTTCTAGAGGTGCAGGTTTGTTAAGGGAGTTTTAGAAATGATAAGGAATGTACGTCGTTTTTTTTTTATTTCGTCAAATATGTATATACAGCATGGCACAAAGAACACGTGTCAGTTTGAGAACACTGATGGGTGACGAAATTATAATGTGCTATAAACGTAGTTTATCTGATTTATTACTTGTCCGGATGCACTTGGCAAACTCACAACAGTGCAGTTGTTTCTTTAGGTCTTTTTTTTTGCATTGCAAACGCCTAGACATGTTAAAAATATTACAAATGGACTTAAGCAGCTATTTGTCGAAACATGTATACCTAAGTCTACTAATTTGTTTTGGAAACTCAGAAACACACATTGACACCCCTCCAACGGACTTGACGGTTTCGGTCGATCTTGTCTTTTTTATTAAACTTTGGCTCTTGGTTCAAAGAACACTGTCAATTGTTTCACTATTTTACTAAACTAAACACGTGACTTAGCTTGAAAATGATTTCAAGTTTTAATTAATTTTCAGGGTACTTAATCCATTTTCTTTAAATTAATTAAAACTTTATATCGGACAAGTTAGTGAAAATCCCTAAGAGATCATTATTTCTTAGAATATCACTCAGTCGTAAACTACACACCTACTATCACCATCTAGACACTTTCGATACACAGAACGTTCTCTTAGGTGTAACGTTCAGAATCAAGCATTTTTTTTTCTGTAACAGTTTACTTACTACGCGTTATCTACAAATTTATTTATAAAGTAGTATTTTATATATTTTATTAGGTACCATCAGCGAAACAAAAACCAAGAATGCGTTAAAACATTTAGTTTAAATAAGCCATCTGATTTGTCCCGCTCACTTCGAGTTGAAATGATAATTTGGTCGTCTAATTTTAACTCTGCAATTAATAGACAATCTAGCTAATCAACTTCGCTTTTTTAATTAAACCAGTGTCCGTCCGAATTTAATTACTTTTAATTGGACCGATCTTCGAGTGCACACCGCCCTCGACACCGTCCAACCAATGACATTTAATTGCACTTGAAATTCGATTGGACAATCTTTAGCTGCAACAAAAGCCATCGAATCGTGTTTAGTCTGACAAGTTCACCCTGATTGTTATACCTGAGTAATGCTAAACATTAGAACAGCTGCAGGGTCAAGAGATTTCCGCGGTTGTAACCATAGCGACGCTTAATCAAAGTTAATGATTACCTGCATCGTTCGGGACTGGCGCTATGTTGTAGTACAGTTAAATGCATAATTAATGATCCGCCGAGGTTAATAAACCTACGATCGGTACGCGTTTTGACGCAGTCGTTAGGATTGTATGCTTCTTGCGTTTCGTAATCTGCAAATCATTTTAGTTTGCCCTGGGGCAGATGCGTATATATATTGCATCAACGATTCCGCCTTGTCGAGCCAATACTTTTCCTATTTCGAAGGTATTTTTGCGAGGCGGTGGTGAAAAATTCAGTCTCATAACTAATCTCGTGTACGTGGCGTGACACTAATTCATTTTGCAAGGGTTCTAATCCTTCAGACGCTCTGAATGTCAGAAGTTTATCATTTTTCCCTCCATACTTTTCTTACTTTATTAAATAATGTAGGTATAACACGGGAAACTGCGAGTTTCTTAGAATTTTCTCTTTTCACTTCTTTGACGTTCTTTGTATGTACAATGGAAAGAAATAATACCTACATCTTTTGTGAGCAATAATTGAACGACTTGGGGATTATTTCCCGCGGAAAATTTACAAATAATAAGGACGTCCAAGTATTGAGAGAAATTTATTTAATACGAAAATTGTATTCAGATCGCATAATCTCGACATATCCACGATGTACTTTGCACTAAGATTGTACGTGCTCGGAATTGCCAGAAACGATTTGTGTCAAAATTTGTCGTTTTTTGATGAGCTTAACGGCGCTCTAATGGATATAGCAAGTGTTCTGCGCAGTAGAGGAAATTGTGTTTTCTTGAGTTTTAAGTTAATGAAAAAGTCATCAAAAGGGATTTGCCCTACTCTTGGTGTAACGGTATGCTTACGAAAACTTAGTATACCTACTCATAATCCAAAATTAACGTAGAGAGACAATTTGAGACAACGGTTGCGCTTTACGACTGTGTCCTTAAAGGGTAAATTATTATCGACAAAAAAAATCTAAGTGATTTGTCGTGTCATTTGTCCCTGGTATTAATTCATGTAGAATCTTCTAGTCTAGGTGTCAGTGATCATAAGGTCGGATAAATGTTTTGTTTTATTTCGCGATGCTATCTGTGATTGTTCAAAAAGTTCTAAAATACCTTCGAAGCTGCACTGCTGCTCTTCGCACTTTTTTTAAATGCCTGGAGCAATTGTGTATAAGTCTTACACTACCTAGAAGTACCACACGATTAGAAATTGGCTTAGTTGCAATACATTTCGTCCAAGATCATTTGAATGGTTGTAAACTGTCGGTTGAAAAAAAAATTGCTGTTCTGCGGCTCTGATATTAACTGGGAGCATAAGTAGTGAGTGGTTCTAAAATAGATAAAACCGGGAAGTGTTCTTCTTTCCAGTCCTACATGTATAAAAGGCAACAATGAACACAAATGACGCAAGAACGGAGCGTTCCAAACCACTTGCAAAAAACGCGTCGCTGTGACACAGTGACACCAAATATTTATTTTGGTATTTACAGTTGTCGTTGAGATATGGCTCACTAAATATTCGCGAAGAATTTGTTCTTGTTACGTGTTACGCCACGCGCTATTAAATAATCCGATTAGCGCAGTTGCCTAAAAATTTTTATTTTAATTCACGATTTAAAAATAAATAAAAATGTAACTAACCTTGCGTACCGCCTTTGCTTTCCGTGACGTCAACTTATTTTTCTTTAGTTTTTGGCTTCGCACATTGTTCGCAAAAACAAAGATAGGATGTTGTGTTTGTACACCGGCGTCAAAAATAAAATAATCTAACCTTCCATGTGCATCGATATTAGCGATAAGCTTTCCGAAACACATCCCACATTATCCAACATGTTAGGCACCGCTTCACACACAACACACCAAATAATTCCTGACATCTCGTAATTAATTTCAATCACCTGTTTAATTTCGTCGTCAGCAGCGAAAAAACGTTAAATTTAGATCAGTCAAACAGAGAGAACGCGATCGAGTCAACCGCCACCGCGTTTTGTGTCCCATTTTCACGGTGCTTATTTTAGGACGTGATGATTTTATGACGCCCCTGAGAGTCTAAGAAGTCTTCGCCATGGAGGAGGACGAGGACGAAACCACTTCCAGAACGGCCTCGACGGTCACGCTCACTCAACACTCCATCTCTCGCACCTCCACCTCGACTTTCGTTTCGGAAGGCACCCAACCGCAATGCCAGATCATCACTCAGCAGGCCAGCGGCGACTCTCTCGAAAGCGAGGAGTCCTCGATCTCGCAACGAGTCTCTCCCAGGTACTCCCTCCTGTCAAAATCGCCACATTCTAGTTCGTCTCAAGAGGACTACGAACCCGACCCCAAGCAAGCCAACAAGGGACAGTTCCTCTCGGCAGTCCGCACAGAAACGGCCAGGAGCATGGAAAGTCTGCGGACCTCGAGCAAGTCTTTCTTGTCCACCAGCGAGCGGGACATGAGAAGGGTTTTCTCAGAGAGCGTAGAAACTAAATCTTTAGACAGCTTGGAGAGGGAGATGAGGCTGAAAAGGCACGCGGTCAGCGGCGAAGGCTCGACTTTGACGTCTTCGGGGTCGATGCTGAGTTCAGACGAAACTATCAACGCGGAGAAGAGAAGAGGCTTGTGGTCGGGGAAGATGCGGGCGCCAAGTCACCTGAGTCTGCCACCTCCAGCGGGGTATCTCAATTTGAGTCCTGGTGATCGAAAACTGACAATACTGTCTCCACATTCGCCGCATAGAATGCCGGATTTGATGCATTTGTCGCAGGCCACGTTGAAGACTAGGAGGAAGAAGGCAATGGTGTTACCGAGGTTGGTCTTGCCGAGAAGCGATTCGGACATCAGCGAGGTCTTTTCGGAGCACAGTTTAGAGTAAGTCGGGGTGGCGTCGGAGTTATTGTTGTTTGGACTCGGTTTCGAGATTTTCTTGCGTTTGTGGGTTTCGATTTTCTGGCCAATGAGATGTAATTCACAGCATTGACATTATTTGCCGTTATCGCTATGTTATCGTTATTAAAGAAAAGCTATATATTCTAAATCATGCATTTTCTTTTTAGAACAAATTATGAGCGTTAAGAATAACACATAAATAAATAAATACATATATGTATACCTATACTTTTGATTGGTTTAAAAAGAGATGAGTTTAATACGTTAAAATAAAAATGAAGGTGAACGATTTTGATAAAATTTATATTTTATTAATCATATTTCGATTCATATATTTTAGGCGTAGAACTGTAGTTTTTTTGCTATTAAATAAATAAAAAAAAAATTAATAATAAGTAAACCCGCATGGACATTTATAGCATCTCGTTACATATTTCACGAATCGATAATATGGATATCTACTATAATGCAGTTTGAATAACACTTAAATCGATCTTCATACATAAAACAATAGGAGAACGTAAATAAAAAGCGTAAAATAGCGGATCTTCCATTTCCGGACTTAAATGAATTATGAATATTATGTAAATCGTAAGATTTCGAACTCAATAATGCATATAATTGTTATTCGTAATATGAAAAGATGTTTCTTTCTTGGCAGTAACTTGCGAATCATAGCTTACGCGTAACATTTGTTCAGGATCAAATAGGATCTTGAAATAAGTTAGTTTCGCAAGTTTACTATAGTACTGTAAACCGAAAATTGCCCCAATTAGCGGAGTGGTTGTAATTTAATACCATCTTAGATGGCCAGAAATCGAAACACAACCAGGAAATAATAACCGAGAAATGTCCATCTTTACAACCTTTCAACATATCGAAGACAAACTAATGTCGTATATCACCAACAGGAACATGTCCATATCCGCAAGTGACGCTAGATATTACCGGAGGTTCTTAAGGTTATACAATTTTAATATCATCGTAGTTTTGCTTATTATGTGTCGCTACAGCACTGCAATTTCCTTTCTTCTCATTAACTGTGACCAATCTTCCGTCTGAAACGTTCCGAAAGAAGCAGGTGGCAAATTTCTCTCTATTCAATTTTCAGCAGGTAATTCTCCGGCATATACAGAACCGAGCAACGGCTCATATATTATGTATAAAAACGAAAAATGATGTCCGTTTGATGTAGGTTCTTTCGACGAAAATCCTCTCGCGGGTGCATTGAACGTTAAATTTATGATTCGAATTATACGACGCCAAAGCGCCGGTTTGGCATCGCTTTCCCGCATCGGTTGACGACAAATAGTGGCAACGTTTAATTTACGAAATGTCATGTTAACACCATACAGATCAAGCCCCTCTTATCGGGCGTGTTTGGATTTGTGCAGCTTTGAAGTACCGAACGGCGAAACAGTTCTTTGCAAACATCGGCGAAAAATGAACATCAATCACGAACTGTCGGCGAAAAAACCGAATTCGCATCGAAAGTTGGAATTAGAAAGTCAGATCGAGGGGTATTCATCAATTTCTAAATTTAATAACGTTTGCTTTTTCATACAAAAATTGATTCGTTTCTCAATTCGACAGAGAGTTTACGTTGCATTACCGCCTAATGGCGAAAGCTAAATTTATCATAGATAACAATTTTTACGACCAAGTTTGTCACTGAAATAATTGAGTAGATCAAATAATCGAGTACGTTTTTTCAAAAGCAACAGCTCCGAGTTAGTCTGAACGATACATTATTGAGGTAGATTGCCAAATACAGTTTGAATATGAGTCGCTTCGAAACTGACTCCCAAGATATACACATATCGGAATATTAAACAGTCGATTTAAATTATTTTTCTGTTCATTCTATTGGGAATAGAGTTCTATTAAACGATCCAATTTTATAAGCTTGCATTCGACAAGCTGCGTTTCTGTCGATTTGCCGACAGTTTAAAATAATTCCTTACAAATAAATTCCTTATTCGATTCGTGAAATTCCTTTAACCTCTTTTCCCGATTCACTTCTCACACTCCACAATGATGAAACTTTATCACATTTCGTACACCTTTCTGCACAGGCTTGTAGCTCACATTGTTGGTTAGATGTCTGCGTCTGCTTCTAATTGGCTTTTAGCTTTTGTGCCTCTCCGGAATCTCCGATTGGCAACCGGAAATATTTTCATTCGACAAACAATCGCATCCGCTCCGTCGCTATTACGTCAAGCCCTAGACGAAAATCCCCGGAGTTCACCCTAGCGTCTCTTCATTTGAGTGTGATAAAGGCCTATTTCAGTTCAGATTAGTTCTGGTCGTGCGTGTGCGAATGATTTTCACCCCAACAGACAAAGTCTTTGATTGATTAGGAAAGTTTCTTTCGGCCGCCTGGATTTAACAATACAACTTTTCGCCTAATTTGAAAAAAACCTTATCGCCTTGTCGACAAACTTCGAACACGCTGCGGGGAAATTTTCGTTTATAATAAGCAGGGTTGTAAAGCTGAGGTTGGGACGAAGCTTGTTAAGTGAGCTTTTTGCATGAAATAAGTCCACAAGATGAAGTACCTCTTCATGTGTCCCGGCAGTTTATGCTTACGCTAAAAACCTGATAGTCGGTATTCAACCGTGAAATTAGAGCTCGCGATGCACGAAACCAATTTTGTTTGCGAAAATGCCATAAAAGGAATTAGCTCATCGATTAATGGCCCGGAATAGTAAGTGTCCGGACGCCTCGGAGCGAGGTGTACGTACTTATAAATTAATAAAGCTCGAACGAAACTCATGAATTTTTTGACGTTTCATGTGGAAGCGTAATGTGTATCGCTTCAACTTTTACGGGAGGGCGAACGGAATGTTATTCGAGTTTGTTAGGCTTCGAGAATATTTTATTTCAACAGGTTGGGGTGGAGCTTTTCGTCATACAAAGCTCGCTGGAGTAGCGCTGTATCATATTGTAGGTACATGTATACGCACGGACTGATTAAATATATGTTTCTTCGTCTAGTCGTCATGTTAAAATATCAAATCTCCATTTATTTGACGATAAAGGATTCAGATCATGAACATTCGCGCAGAACGCCCTGTATAAATAAATTTAACGGTCGTCTTGTCGCTAATGACGTTCAACTATATTAAAACGAAGCGTAAAATACACGGATAACTTCGATTAACAAACATTTACGTACGACCATTCCAGTCGTTAGTTGTTTATTACGTATTCTTTCTTATTCTGTCATCAGCTACCTTAATCTATCGCAGTTCTTTAGTAATTTACAGGTGAACCCAACATGTACAGAGAAACTGTTTCCCGTATAGAGCTTACAGTCTATTACGGTAATATTTCATTGCTAATTCTTTTATCTTATTACTCGGTGTAAGTGAGGTGCGTCCACCTTCTCCAGCCAGGTAATGTGAGCTTTGCTCGCTCAACGATCTCTCTTTGTTGTACAAACCACGTCCGACAAGCAATTAATTGCGTTCGTTGTTGATATTGAAAATGATCAGATCTTGTCATCTGTGACTCTATAAAAGCCACCCCTATGATTACACCCTGTCGAAACGTCTGAGGACCCGTCTCCAAGTGTCTCTAACGAGATCGTTACGTCAACCTTCTCAGTATCACACACGCTCATCATTTTCAGGGTGTTCTGACCTCCTACACACTCGCATTTCTAATGTCTTTTAAACGAGCTCCGTACAGCATCAACGTCGTCTCGTAACTCAATTTCGGTCCTTTATCTTGGTATCCATATTGTCACAAACGACGCGAGTTTTAATTGTGTTACTAATCGGTGTGGCTCGCATGGATTTTTCGGACTATATTACACTCACACCCTTGAACTGGAGGCGGTTTCGTGTACACTAGAACTTTACTAGACGCTAAACACAAATTAAACACGGAAAAGTGTATCTTGGAGATAACGGGTAAACAAGTCGTGATGAATCGTTAGCGTTTTGCATAGGTCACTGGGTTAAAGTGATCATTTAGCGTCGTCTCCGACCTTTATCATATGTAAATGGGGGATGAAATTGCACGACATCCTTATCCTTGAAGTCGGGTACGGAAAAATTCGATTTTGTCTGTAATTGCGTTATTGGGGTTGATCCGGCGGAGGAATTTATCGATTCGGCAGGTGAGGTAATGCGCTGTCCGACGTTTTGAATTTGAAAGCAAGGGTTGTGTTTTTGTTTCGTTGTCTTTGTTTTCTGGATGAAGCGCCGACTTTGGGGTGGTTAGACAAAGACTTAAAGAGACGAGGGTCGAGGGAACATGTTCGTTATGTTTTTTAAAAAGCACAAAATAATCTAGATTATACGGGCGACATAAGGTATTACGTTGTACAACGTTACTTAAAATTCAACGAGGATTTACTTTTTTGTATGGAACGCGGAGGATTTGACATGCTGACAACCGGGATTATATTAAACGGGAAAACGGTATCGATTAGCTGCGAAAATTTAATGTAGACGTCTTGTCGGATTCATTAACGATAATAATTATTATTAGTCGCTTAGTGACGTTAATCAGACTAAGTAATTTGGATTTTTTTTTTTTAATTTTATCATGTTAGGAAAATTGGGCTTATTGACGAGGAAGGTTAATAATCCCGTGCGTCGTGGGTGAACTTATAAAATTGCAATAAATTGACTCGGCGAATATTCCCGTTTTAAAAGTTTATAAGCGAACAAAGCTGCTCTTTGGAATAGCGAGGCGAGAAAGCCGTCTTTGTTGCCTTTTACTTAATGGAAAAATCAGTACGTTGTTATTGCGGTACACTTTTAAGGTCCTGATATTGTGTCGGGTCGATAATCTATTCATTGTAGGTAATATTCCTGGTAATAAAATATTCACGGATAGGGCTTTGTATTTTATTTAATACACGAATTCCCATTGGATGCTCACTAATCATCTGTCGGTCGCTATTGTGTGTCCATGCATGCATGATTATGTGAACCTATTGTCAATATTTTCAATTCTCGCTCAAGTTGCTCGTCAGTGTCAACGGATGCGTCACCAATGCGAAACAATTAGAAGACTACAAGCCAACGGACGAAACTACCGAACGCAACGTTTTCATCAAGATGCAGAAATAAAGTAATCTTCGGTTAGATTTTTTTTTATTGATAATTATAAATAGGATAATAACCTGCTTCGAAAGGGACCCAGTATCATTAGCTTTTTCCTGAGGTCAATCAAATTTTTAAATCTCTTTGGTTCAAAATATTCGTCACATGGAAGTTAAGAAAAGAGCGGATTGTTGATATTTATAATACACTTACAATAACAGAATTAAAATGCGTATCGACTGAGATCATGCGCGGGCCACCTATAACGAGAGAAGTAATCTTTTCACACGAATCAATGATTTAATACTTGTCAGACTCATAATCCCATCCGATAGATCGATCGTCCGTGAAATACTAACTTCTCGAAAACCGTAACGAGCCGTCAATAAAATCGCTTATTAACGGTAGCAACGTGCTCCGACTCAATTAACAACCGTACAATAATTTTCTGTAATAACAAAATCGATAATGGCATTTTTTCCATTGTGTGGCGCTTTTTCCCACAGCTACACCGTACTGCTTAATGATCGATTAAAAATGCCTTGTACTAATCTAGTTCCTTCTGACATATTTTCGTGCTTGCCCGTCCCAAGCTCATTTTTTTAGTATAATTAAATTTTTATTGATTGTGATGAGTCGCAGCTGTAACCAACAAGTATTGAACAAACACCCGCAGAAACAGCTTCTTTTGCAAATAAACAACTTGCGCTTTATTATCCTTCCGCCGGAACTGCTGGTCTCGCTTCTCTCTTTGTGCACACTTTTAAACACTGTGAGACTAATTGCTCTCTCTTTCTTTTCTAGGTAAGTGGAAACGAGAACCGTCGCCAGGAAGCTGCAGATCGGTGAAGTATTTTAAATTTTTCCATTAGGAAAATCTTCAATTACGGGCCAGTCCTCCT